GAAGAGGAGACCGATGCAGATGACCCCACTCTTGGTGACGACCAAGAACATGACACTGATACAACTTGTTCGTCAGCCCATAAGTCTGATGTAAACCAAGAAGAGGTAAACTTTACTGCCCTTAAAAAAATTGCCAATGCAAAGGAACCGAATTGGAATGCGGGGAAGAACTATGTCCAACTCCCCAAGGGAGTCAAAATCGGCAAAGCCGGAGGATGCGGCCACTAAACCATGGGTCGAGCTCTGGATCACTAAAAATGACTGGCGGGCCAGACTCAAGAAGGGGGTATGCCTGCATTGCCAGAAACCGAACCATAAGGTACAGGATTGCTATAGGCTGCTGGGAAACCAGACCCGGGCGTAAAGTCGATTTCAGCTCACTCTACAACAAGGGAGACTGGATCTGATGCAAATTAGCAGTCCTCCCTTGAAGCCCAATCATTTACTAAAGCCAAGGCTGAAGTGTGTAATGTTTTGTATGTCGAGCCTTGGGAGGAGTCTAGGACGGTCGACTTCCATTACCACTTAGAGCATTGGGCTGAGATGAAAGAGCAGCATGCCCAAGGGACAGTGAAGTTGATCTTCTTCAAACTTCTCATAAACCACCGTTATCTCCGTGTTTTGATTGACTGTGGTGCTACGACTAACTTTATGTCACCTCATGGGGTACGCAAAGTGGACTTGGGAATGAAGCAAGTGGCCTTGCAGAACCCTTGCCGAACCCAAGTTGGAAAAGTTGTGTCTTCTACGCATGCAGTCAAAGGTGTGCGCACTACCTTTGACAAGGACAAAACTGTCACCCACGCGTTGAACTTCTATGTCCTTGACAAGTGCCCCTTCGACACTGTCCTTGGCTTGGGTTGGCTACAGTCCCAATGCGAATGGACCAAGTGGAACGAGTCACTTTTCATGGTCAAAGATGCTCAAGGGAACGAGTTTCCCGTCCTCCTAGACGAAAAGCACGAGTCCCCAATGACTTTTCTGAATGCTATGAAGTTCTGCAAGAAATGGCGCATGCACAAAGAGGACGAACAGTTGTACGTTGCCTTTGTTCATCCTACCCATGTGCCATCTACTTTTGCGGTTAATACCACTACTACTTCAGCTAGTAATTCTACTTCTATAACTTTCTACTTCTAGCATCTCTACTTCTCTGCCTTCTACTATTCCAAATGATCCTACTTCAGATTCGGTCGCCTCTATTCACAACCTGCGACCTGATCTAGGTGATCCCTTTGTTGATCCTCCATCCCCACCAGTTCCACCAAACATCCAAAACCTACTCGATCGGTTCCCAGAAGTCATGGCCGAGCCACGTGGAGTCCTCACGCGATCGGTCCGATACACCATCGAGTTGGTCGAGGGTGTTGTTCCTCCAAAGGGCTGCGTATACCGAATGGGACCCGGCGAGTTGGAGGAACTTCGGCAACAGATTGACGAAATGATTGACAAAGGGTGAATCAAGCCAAGTGAGTCTGAATTTGGTTTTCCTGTTTTGTTTGTTCCGAAGAAAGGAGGCAAGCTCCGCATGTGTATTGACTATCGCGGTCTAAACAACATCACAAGAAAGAACGCCTATCCATTGCCCCGCATAGATGACTTGCTTGATGCCGCAGGTGGGTGCAAGGTCTTTTCCAAGATCGATCTCAAGTCTGGGCTACCACCAGATTGAAGTCGATCCTGCGGACCAACACAAGACTGCGTTCAAAACACGCGATGGGCTTCACGAGTTTACCGTAATGCCCTTCACTCTCACGAACGCACCGACCACCTTCCAAAGCCTCATGGACAAGGTCCTCCGCGAATAGATTGGCCGGTTCGTGGTGGTATACCTCGATGATATACTAATCTTCCGCAAATCCATAGAGGAACACCTCAAGCACCTTTAGGAAGCTCACTATCCTCGAGAAGACGCAACTTCATCTGAACCTAGAAAAGTACGAGTTTGGGAAGGATAGTGTCATCTATCTTGGACATCGGTTGTCTGTTGCAGGCCTAGAACCTGAGGCAACCAAGGTTGAGGTCATACGCGATTGGCCTCAACCCGTGAACATTCGCGAACTACACTTTTTTCTTGGTCTCGAGTCATACTATCGAAAGTTTGTGCCCCGCTTCTCCATTGTTGCTCGTCCATTGTCACGGTTGACAAGTAAAAATGTTCCCTATTCTTGGGACACCGCTTGCACGAACGCCTTTCAAGATTTGAAAGAAGCCTTGGTAAGTTACCCAGTACTCCGCATTGCAGATCCCAAACTGACATTCGTAGTTACTACGGATGCAAGTCAGTATGGAATCGGCGCAGTGCTGCAGCAAGATGACGGCGTTGGCCTACGACCGCTCGAATATTATAGCAAACGCATGCCCAGCGAAAAGGTAGTCACTTCCACCTATATGTGCGAGCTCTATGCTTTCCGTGTGGCTTTGGACCATTGAAAGCACTCTCTTTTGGGACGCCACTTCAAAGTGTTCTCGGATCATGAGACTCTGAAATGGATCAAGGATCAAACTACCCTGTCCCCTACGTTACTTCGCTGGTTCCATGAAATTGACATTTTTGACTTTGAGTTGAGACACAAAAAGGGTTGTTACAATCGAGTTGTTGATGCATTGTCTCGCCACCCCGAGTACATGACTTGCCTTGTGAAAACCTACGACCTCCGGAAGAAACTGAAGGAGGAGCTCGTAGAGCACACAGCCAAGGACCCGAAGCTTAGTCCCATCCTTGAGCGGTTGCGGGCTGACCCTAGCAGTCAGCCTGATTTTCACGAGGATGGAGGACTGATTTTTTGTCGCTACGGGAACCACGACCGCTTGTGTGTGCCCAACCATGAGCCTCTCCGCACGCACTTTCTGGATTTGGCTCATGGCTGGAGCGGACACTTCGGCATGGCAAAAACGTACGCAAATCTGCTGAGACAGTTTGATTGGCCTGACATGAAAGGGACTGCTGAAAAGTTTGTGGTTGAATGTCAAATCTGTCAACGAATCAAACCATGCAGACAAAAGCCTATGGGGCTATTCACACCCCTTCCCATTCCCGATGGTCCGGGGAGTCCGTCTCCATCGACTTCACCGACTTGGGAAAGGTAAGTAAGAACGGCTACTCACAAGCATGGTGATTGTTGACCGATTCTCTAAGTTCCTTAATCTGATTCCTTTGCCACCTCACGCTCCAACAAAATTGGTGATCCGTGAGTTCAAACAGAAGTACATTCTACAGTTCGGAACCCCAAAGACTCTTGTGAGCGATCAGGATCCGTGCTTCATTAGTACTTAATGGAAGGACTTCATGTCTCAACTAGGGATCAGGTTGTGTATGGCATCTGGCCGACACCCCGAAGCCAATGGTTTGGCTGAGGAGATCAACCAGACTGTGTTTCAACTTCTCCGCGCCTTGATTATTCCGGATCAGGAAACATGGTATGAAGAGTTGTATTCCGTTAAGGGGTTGTACAACAACTCCGCCCATTCTGCCACCGACATGACACCCAACAGGTTGCATTACGGTTGGAAGATCCATAATCCTCTCTCCTATCTATTCCCTGAGCAGCCAACTGGCTTAACACCCGGCAGGCCTGGCTTCACGGCCAAGTATGATTTCTTGATCAAGGTTGCCATTGCAGCAACGACCAAGCGACAGCACACCATGATCCATCATGCAAACAAGAGGCGCCGACCGTCGGATATTCAAGTAGGAAGCTATGTCTAGGTCCAGATGTCTGAATTTTCAGAAGAAGAGGGAGTCTCTCGCAAACTTCTCCCACTCTATTATGGTCCGTGGGAAGTTTTGGATGTGATTGGTGAAGATCACTTTGGCCCTTCGTACGTAGTTGATGTGCCAGCCCATCTGCGCACATACCCCGTGTTCCATGCATCGAAACTGTACCTTCACCATGACGCTAAGACATTCGATTATCGTGAAGACATGATCCCTAGTGCAATCAAAGGTGGGCATGAGATAGACAGAATTAAACAGCACGCAGGGAAGGGACGCAACAGACAGTACCAGTTTCACTTCACGTATCACTCGTTGGACGATATGTACTGGATTTCCAAGCAGGAACTGCTACGCAGCGCACCACTCATTGTTAAAGCCTATGAGCGACAAATCTCAGCTAATGCTACTCCTAAGATCTCTGCAAGGCTTACTGCGATGGAGTATTCTAGGAACCTCTTTGCCTTGCTTGCTTACGATGTGTTTGTCGAGGACTCAGAATGAGTTACTCGCTCGAAGGGACCTCGCTCTTGAGGGGGGGGTAGTGTGATGACCCGTCCAAACATGGGCTGAAACACACGACTGATTTCTAAGTTTTGCCCATAGACTGAATGCCTTGCTGAGTTTCCCGCCTGCTACTAAGTATGTGTGTGCACGCGTGCTGGACTACATGTCTGTCTGAGTGCTGGTTGGCTTGAGTGTTTGTGTGGCCGTGCCTATCTGAGTGCTGGTTGGCTTGAGTGTGTCTGTGGCCCGCAAGGGCACTTGCTCGTTCATTGGGCCCTCAGGGCCGGTACTTACCTGTGGCCGTGACATTGAGGGATTGCAGCGGGAAAAACACTCAAGTAGCGGGTAGGCCGGTACCGCACCCTGAAGAGGTAGATGTGCGGGTACTGGAGGCCGAGCAGAAGAAGACAAAAGTGGCATTTTTAGAGGCCCAGTAGTTGTAGGTTAGGTCTAGGCAGGTACCAGTCCAACCAGTCTGGGTCTAGGGCCTGTACGTGCAATATCAGAATCTGCAATGATGTTTCTCACCGAAAGGGAGGAGGTAACGGTTGCTTGGAAGGCCGAGCGGCCTGGAAGTCACCGCCCGAAGAGGCAAGCAGGCCGCTATATCTCCCAGCCGGGCGAAGAGCCCGGCCTCATTCTCGGTGTGCAAGTTTGGCGACACACTGGTTGGAGCGCCGGTTGGAGCAGCGCTGTCCGGAGCAGCGCTGCTGGGGAAGGAGAAGGACACGAAGGAGGAAGAAGGAGAGGAAGGGGGAGGAGCACCAGGGGTACTTACCTGGCTATGGTGGCAGCCATCTTCATCACCTTCGTGGGCGCTACAGCAGGGAGTCCCCAACTGGGGAGAGCTACACCAAGGAGCTTCGAGGCAGAGTCGGGCATGGCGGCCTGAGTTGGAGCAGCCATAGCTCCTTTGGGTTGTCCTTTGGGCATCAGGGCAAGCCTCGGTCTATGAGAGTGAAGAAAGGAAGAGGCGGCCATGGCTATGGTGGACCTCAAGTGATGCCGGCAGTAGAAGAGGAACTCGGACATTGATTCTGGATCATCCATTCAACATTGTATTATTATTTCTTGTATGAATAAGAGAAGGGGGAGATAAGGAGGATGAGATTGTTGGGCGCAGAAGAAGGGCCTTGTCATTTGTCTATGCTGGTGTACATCATCTTCTTCTTCTTTCTTCCTTCTTCTTCTTCTTCTAATCCTCTCTCTCCTCTCAAGTTCATTCATTTCTTTATGCAATTGGACGACATTGTACTATCTGATGGATGTGTACCTCGAAATTGGTCAGGATCATAACAACTCTGAAAAGCTACATACCCTGTTTTCCTTTTGTTTTTGCTGCATACCCTTTCTATTATTTCTCAAGCTAATATTTTTCACAGTCACAATTCGACCACTTGCACCAGGATGGGACTCTCCTCGCATCAAAGAACAATGTCCACATTGTCGGAGACTCCACTGGATTTTTGATTTTTCCCACTGTGAGGACTAATCGCTGCTGCCAAATACACGAGCAACTGACGGACTGATGTCCAGTCATCGGGGCTATTTCTATCCCGCAAGAGTATGTCTCATACTTACCAGGTATGTATCTCGTCACCCTCAATCAGACCTTGATTATCCCACACAGTGCCTCACTCCCTGAAGACCACCCGACCAGTTCACAGTCCACCTCCAGTACGTTAGGGGCTGGCACTAGTTTGATGGCGGGCTCGCAGTTCAGCTCGCCGCCTCCACGCACTTGGGAGCAGATGAAGCTCCAACAAGTAGAGAGGATCCGCTTAAGGCTAGAGGAGGAACTTAGGCAAGCTACTAAGAGAGAGAAAGAAATCAAAGAGAAAAATGTCAGATTAGAGGGCAGGGAGGCAGATATGGCTGCGCTAGAGGCATTAGAGGACTCTGCCCTTAACACTACAGAAAAGATCCTGAAGGCAAGTGTCCTATCCATGCATGCGTACATAGACAGTAAAATGGACGCCATGCAGGATACCCTAGACCAGATCCTGCAAGCGCTACACAAGCCAGGGATCCGGCGAGCAACTTTACCATCATTGCCACTCTCAGCGATGACAGGCCTCTATGCCGCTCAGTCTGGACCACCACCAAGCGTTACAGCAACAACAGCTCTATCTGCGACTGTTGATTCTTCATCTTCTGGTCCAGCGACTGTTGCTACACCATAGTCGCCACCTGTCTCGCAAGTGGGACAACAATATCCTTGGTATCCCAAGACTCCACTGAACCCACCTTCAACCTTCTCAGGAGACAAGAAGGATGAGGCTCTCGACACATGGTTGAGGGCAAAAAGGACATTGGTAGAAGAGGAAGTGATTACTTCTGCTGCCAAGGGCGCTGACGGGGCGCGAGAGGTGAGGTGGGGTGATGCAAGGCAGCGGGGCGCAGGCAGCCATAGCCGGGCTGCTAGGCGCCAGGGGGTACAGCAGATGATCAGGTGGTCTTCAGGGAGTGAGGCGCTGTGTGGGATAATCAAGCTCTGATTGAGTGTGACGAGATACGTACCTGGTAAGTATGAGACATACTCTTCCGGGATAGAAATAGCCCCAATGACTGGACATCAGTCCGTCAATTGCTCGTGTATTTGGCAGCAGCAATTAGTCCTCATGGTGGGAAAAATCACAAATCCAGTGGAGTCTCTGGCAATGTGGACATTGTTCTTTGATGCGAGGAGAGTCCCATCCTGGTGCAAGTGGTCAAATTGTGACTGTGAAAAATATTAGCTTGAGAAATAATAGAAAGGGTATGGAGGAAAAACAAAAAGAAAACAGGGTATGCAGCTTTTCAGAGTTGTTATGATCCTGACCAATTTCAAGATACACATCTATCAGATAGTACAATGTCGTCCAATTGCATAAAGAAATGAATGAACTTGAGAGGAGAGAGAGGATTAGATTGTTGAAGGCAACTGGACTTTGATGTCGATCAGTACAAAAAAGTCTCTGCAGTCACATTTTATGACTGACTATTCGAGTATGTGAGGAACAAGCCCTCAAGTGGCCCTATCAGACATCACATTGTTCTGGGCTAAGGCCCCCAGCAAGCCAAGTGCCCGCCCTAAGTGAAGGCGCGCCTGAATATTCGTCAAAGGCAAAATTCGACATTTCCATATGGGGTATTCAGGCTCTCGCAGCACGCCAGTTGGTTGGGAAGACGCGTGAGCCTCACATTGCTGCGGCATACAGTTGGCCCAGGCCTTGACAGTTACGCCTGGGCACACTTACACAAAGCAGGGCCGATACATTGGGGAGCGGGCCTTCGGCCTTTGCAAAAGCAGTAATGCCAATGCGCCTGCTCGGGAGCCCTGCACAGATGCCGCAAACAGCCCAAGTCCATAAGACTCAGGCCGTGCCCAACTGAAAAGGGCCCAGGCCCTCAACTGTAAGTCTCGGGCCTGGGCACAGGGTCTGAGGCCCAACCGGAAGCTACTGGAAGCTTCCAGCCAGGCCACAGGCAGCATCCAGCAGGCTGACACTTCCATAAAGGAAGTGAGGCAGCCGAGGCCAGGCATTCTGGCCAGCGTTAGCTATGCGGAAGTGCTGCTGCGCTCTCGCTTGATGCTGCGCTGCTGCCAAGGGCGCTGACCGGGCGCGAGAGGTGAGGTGGGGCGCTGCAGGGCAGCGGGGCGCAGGCCGCCATAGCCGGGCTGCTAGGTGCCAGGGGGTACAAAGGATGATCGGGTGGTCTTCAGGGAGTGAGGCGCTGTGTGGGATAATCAAGGTCTGATTGAGGGTGACGAGATACGTACCTGGTACATGAAGAGAGGTCGGTGATGGTATTGACAGTCATGTACATTGGTCTTCGTGAGCCGAAGTGATCCTGTTGCGTGAACCCGCTGTAGAGTAGGCTAGTGTGGTAGAGTAGGCTGGGCGCTGGGCGCCAGACAGAGAGAGCGACTTTGGATACTGTGCTGGTGTGGCCTACGGGCTTGGACATTGGCTCATTACTTCATTGTATTGCTCTTTATGGATGGTTTTCTCGTTGCATTTGTACTCTCTGCTTGGGACAGGACTACTGGTTCAGCAGTGTGATTTCGCAACTTGGTTTTATGTATATCGCTCACACTCATATTCCTTGCAATTTGGTATCGGAGCTGGTTGTGATCGCCACTTACCTGGCACCGGTGACATTGTGACCTGGTGCGCTGACGATGCTTCATGTGCAGTGAGGATACTTTGCGCTGGTTGATTAGCGGGGCGTAGGTAGAGAGGCCGGCCGCTGGAAGGCTGTGGCGACGGCGTGGGAGCTGTGGTGACAACGGGTGTATGCATGATGATGAGAGTTGCTGACGTGGCATTTTGGCTGAGGTGCAAGATGTTCTGGGGAAGACGGTAGTCTTCTTGTAGTCGAAGTGTCCCGTTGCGTCATGGCATTGTCCTAAAAACAAACTACGCAAATCTTCCCTAGATGGAACAACTAATCTCTTAAATCCTGCCTTCTCAAGAAAGAGCAACCCATCCACCATCACAAACTCGTCAGTAGTGGCCTTATCTTTAGCCTGAAGTTTGTTGATGATGTCCATCGTGATGGGATCTTCCTTGTAGGCTTCCTCCATAGGTCAAGTTACATCCTCAGATAAGCCAAACTCAGAAATCAACGCACCCAGGTAATCTGCCCTTCTAGACAACGCATTTGCAACCTTGTTGTACTCTCCCTCCACATAGTCTAGTTTGAAGTCATATTGATCTATGACTTCAATCCAGCGTTTGAGTGCATCGGAAAGAACCGGTTGCGTCTTGATCCACTTGAGAGTTTGGTGGTCAGTTCTCAGATAAAAGAACCTCCCTAACAGATAATGCTTCCAGTGGACAAGTGCCTTGTAGAGACCATAGAGTTCCCTCTCGTAGGTGGACTTTGCCAACTTCTTTTATGACATCTTTTTGCTCATGTACTCGACCGGTCTCAACTTCTTCCCGTCCTGCTGAGCCAGCACTGCGCCAATGCCAGATTGGCTTTCGTAAGTGGTTACAACAAATGGCCTTTGCGGATCGGGTACCATTTGAATGTTGCCAACCTCATGGTGTGTGAGAGCATGCTTCAAACATTTGAATGTTGCCTCACACTCGTCGGTCCAGTCCCATGGTGTATCAAGTCGAGTTAGATCGGTCAAGGGAGATGCGATCGTGCTATAGTTCTTTACGAAGTTGCGGTAATAACCACACATTCCCAAGAACGATCTGACCTCAGTCACAGACTGGGGTCGTGGCCAGTCACGTATGCTGACCACCTTTGCATCTTCGGGCCTAATCCCATCCGCAGATACTTCATGACCCAAGTACAAGATTCGAGTGCGACCGAACTCGCATTTCTCTACGTTTATCTTATACCTGTGTTGCCGAAGGAGTGAAGTACTGTGTCTACATGCTGAGCATGCTCCTCGACAGATCTACTGAAAATAAGTATGGCGTCGAGGTACACGACAACAAGCTTATCCAAGTAGTCATGGAAGATCTTATTCATGGTGTGCTGGAATGTACCCGGCGCATTGCAAATGCCAAAGGGCATCACCACAAACTCGTACAGACTGTACCTGGTCTGAAATGCCGTTTTGTGCTGGTCCTATGGTCTTATGGCTATAGCCAGACTTTAAGTCTATCTTTGTATAGTACTTACATCCCTGCACCCTATCCAATAGGTCGTCGATGCGTGGTAAAGGCTCTGCGTTCTTAACGGTGATCGCATTGAGGCCTCTATAATCAATGCACATCCTTAGTGTTCCCCTTTTCTTTGGAACAAACAATACTGGTGAGCCAAAGGGGGAAGTGCTAGGCCGAATCCAACCCTTCTCTGTGAGCTATTTCAGTTGCCGCCGAAGTTCGTCCAACTCGGCTGGAGCCATCCTATAGATTCTTCCCTTAGGTGTTTTACTACCGGGGATAATCTCTATGGCATGGACAATCTCGCTGTCTACAATTCCTGTAGGCTCCTCGAACAGATCAGGGTACTTGGCGACGATGGTCTCTATCTCTAGGGGTGTTTTAACGGCCTCCCCTTTTGCAGAGACATAGACTCAGTACATTCCTTCCTCTTGGTTCTGTTTATAATAATTGTAGAAGGCAGATGCGCATAAGCAGCCATAGGAGTTTACTAACATACTGGCTTAGTACTTGGCCAGTCTAACGGTTCTCCCACTAGGCAACTCGTGCTTCAACACCTTTTTGTCTCAGTCAAACTGGGGCTTGGCAACCTCGAGGTAGTACATGCCCAATAACATGTCAAAGGGCAACTCGTCGCTCACCATGAATGATATCTTATCGTTTATCTCTCCTCCTGGGTAGGAGAAGGTGCAGACTACATCTTTAACGTAGTCCTCCACCATCATGCGCTCTTTGTTGGCCAAACTAGATGCTACCGGTCTACTAAGGCGCTGCACCCAGTCCTTGAGGCACAGTCTGTCAACGCAGTCGCGGCTTATGAAGTTTCGCGTGGAGGCAATGTCTACGAAGGCGCCGCACTTGCGACCACCCACATCAACTTCCACAACGAAGTGCTCCCCTCTAGGACCTCTACTCAGTGCAACCCAAGACTCACGAGGGTCCCTTGCCGACCACTCACCTTGAAGGTCCTCTAAGGCCTCAGACACATCCAAAGTACAGAGTATAGTTGGGTCCGGATGCGTCTGCGGGGTGACTAAGGAGTCAATAGCTTTGGCCATCTCTTGAAACGGGGAGGGTACATCACCCGCTTCAACGAGAGTAGAACCAGCTACAACTTCTACTGGCCCTAAGTGTTTCCCGAGCTGGAGCTCGTAGAGGCCCCAGACTGAGAAGAAGAAAACCCACCCTTAGGAGGGATCTTCTGCGAGACCTTCGGGTTCTTGCATTTGAACTGCGTATGACCRTACTCAMCGCAGTTAATGCAAGCACCACGAGACCAAYGGTCCYGCCACACATCTTGATCCAKACSTGCTCTAACCCAARCARCTATTTTGTTTGGGTTAGCGGCCTGCCCCTGACTCCTTTGTTGACCGCCCTTCCCGCGGCCACTTGCCTTAGTCTTAACTGCGGCGGCGAGGTTGCTACCCTCAGCAATTCGTCACCACCAAACTCTGAACCCTCCACAAGTTCGGAAACATCATCGATCTCGGTTTGGTTCCCATCGGAATCAACCATAATCAATCGACTACCGTTCTTCTTCCACTCTTGTGGAGTCTTCTTCTTCCTTCCATCCGTAGAAGGGGTTTGAGCTCCATCCAGCGTAGCCTCTAAGTCTAGGGCCTTCTTGCGAATGACTCAAACGTGTGATACTCTCGGCGAGCCTCGCTGGCTAACAAGTTCTTGATGTCTATGGGAAGACATCTCAAGAAAGTGGTCAATAAAACCGGTGGATTGTACTTCACTCCTGGGACAACAATCAGACGCTCTACGACTGTGGTCAACTCTCGCACTGACTTGTACTTTCTAGAGTCAAGCTTTAGAATCCCATCAGAGGCAATTTGTGCCTGCTGAGGGTTGTGCCAACGAGCCTCCACTAAGTCCATAAAGCTCTCCAAGGTGTGGTCTCGCGCCCAATCATGCATGTTCCTGCCGAAGCCCTTTGAAGCTACCAATCCGTTTAGCCAGCGGGTTGTTGAACCCTCTAAGTAGGATGCTGCAATAGTAACTTCCTCTTCCACCAATGTCCTTTTTGCCCTCACCCACACTGGCACCGTTCTCAACCATGTGTCGAGAGCCTCATCCTTCTTGTCTCCTGAGAAGGTTGAAGGTGGGTTCAGTGGGGTCTTGGGATACCAAGGTTATTGTTGTCCCGCTTGCGAGACAGGTGGCGACTGTGGTGTAGCAACAGTCGCTGGACCAGACTGAGCGGCATAGAGGCCTGTCATCGCTGAGAGTGGCAGCGATGGTAAAGCTGCTGGCCGGATCCCTGGCTTGTGTAGCGCTTGCAAGATCTGGTCTAGGGTATCCTATATGGCGTCCATTTTACTGTCTATGTACGCATGCATGGATAAGACACTTGCCTTCAGGATCTTTCCTGTAGTGTTAAGGGCAGAGTCGTCTAATGCCTCTAGGGCAGCCATATCTGCCTCCCTGCCCTCTAATCTGACACTTTTCTCTTTGATTTCTTTCTCTCTCTTAGTAGCTTGCCTAAGTTCCTCCTCTAGCCTTAAGCGGATCCTCTCTACTTATTGGAGCTCCATTTGCTCCCGGGTGCGTGGAGGCGGCGAGCTGAACTGCGAGCCCGCCATCTGACTAGTGTCAGCCCCTAACGTACTGGAGGTGGACTGTGAACTGGTTGGCATGCCTAGCCGTTGACCAGTTGAGTTTGCAACAGTAGCCATTGCTACCGTTCTAGCTGTTGCTGTTTCCCTTTTAGCCTCAAGATTACGGGCCCTAGCTTCAGCCCTTAATCTTCTCTCTTCTCCCGGTTGTAGGGCCTGGAACACTCTAGGAATTTTAAGGGATGATAGCCTTGTTATCCTCCTATCGTCATTTGCACCTTCACCACCCTTTGATCAACTCTTAGGTTAGGCAGACGTTGTCTGCACTAATGTCCACGCTGGAACCTACCGCAGCATGCGTCTGACCGGATCTAAAAATAAATAAATAAATAAATGCCCGTCGAGTTACCTAGTCTACTAATCAAGCGGCATCAACAACATCTACACAAACTGTACACATTGTCTAGCTCTATTCTGATTATTCTGCACAGAAGATTCGAGAAGAACTGACTATGGTAGATTACAGTCCTACTCTAGTCTGTCTGTTAGGTGTAAGCAATCGGTCAACCAACTAATCAAAATAAAAACTTAGACTAATGTGAGCAGATGCATGCACAATGGATATGTAAGTGATGTACAGTAGAGTTCACAATTGGAATCCCCTTCCTCTGTATCCAACGTACCTTTGAGCATCATCAAGCTGCGGTGTCTAAGGTGTGCAACCACGGCCCACCCTTGTGCCTAAGAAGTATGCTTATGACCAGCCTGCCCCTTTGTTTACCCTCGCGTGCAACGAGCCTTACGTCTGACTGATCTGGCTGATCAAGAGGCAATTTAAGGACAGCTCCTGGAGTCCTCAGGAATTCTTTAACGTCGCAATCAGGACGACGATCACAGCCAATGGACAGTTCAGACCCCAACCAGAAATGTTTATAGACGGTCTGGGAGCGTCTCAATAGGACTGGTCAGTCCGCACACCACTTCTATCAGCGCAGCACAGAGCCTCAATGGACAAAGCATCATGGCCTGTCTGTACTAATACCCATGGGTTGGCATGGTGACCGTGACCCGTGCTTCCACCAGGGCCCTTCAGAGGCACCGCCCTCTCCTGCCAGATGCGCCACCGGGAAGAATGTTATCTTTCAAGATAGAGCGCACACGACTCCTCACCAAAGACAGGACACTCAAGTTGGACCCACTTCCTCACAGTAAGAAGAGATTGAGAGGGTAGATAAGGAATGGGAACAACGTACTTGGAGATAGCTGCCCCTAACCACAAATTTCTCACCAATTGGGCCGACGTGCATTTCGATGACCGATCATTAGCCTCGGTACCACCCACAGCGCAATGCAGTGCCACCTCAGCCAAAATGCCACGTCAGCATACTCTCATCATCATGCATACATCCATTGTCGCAACAGCTCCCACGCTGTCGCCACAGCCTTCCAACGGTCGGCCTCTCTACCTAGGCCCCGCTAATCAACCAGCGCAAAGTATCCTCACTGCACATGAAGCATCGTCAGCGCACCAAGTCACAATGTCGCTGGTGCCAGCTAAGCGGCGATCACAACCAGCTCTGATACCAAATTGCAAGGAATATGAGTGTGAGCGATATACATAAAACCAAGTTGCGAAATCACACTGCTGAACCAGTAGTCCTGTCCCAAGCAGAGAGTGCAAATGCAACGAGAAAACCATCCATAAAGAGCAATACAATGAAGTAATGAGCCAATGTCCAAGCCCGTAGGCCACACCAACACAGTATCCAAAGTCACTCTCTTTGTCTGGCGTCCAGCGCCCATCCTACTCTACCACACTAGCCTACTCTACAGCTGGTTCACGCAACATGATCACTTCGGCTCACGAAGACCAATGTACATGACTGTCAACACCATCGCCGACCTCTCTTCATTTACCAGGTACATATCTCGTCACCCTCAATCAGACCTTGATTATCCTACACAACACCTCACTCCTTGAAGACCACCCGATCATCCGCTGTACCCCCTGGCGCCTAGCAGCCCAGCTATGGCCGCCTGCGCCCTGCTGCCCTGCAGCGCCCCACCTCACCTCTCGCGCCCCGTCAGCACCCTTGGCAGCAGCGCAGCATCAAGCGAGAGCGCAGCAACACGCATAGCTAACGCTGGCCAGAATGCCTGGCCTCGGCTGCCTCACTTCCTTTATGGAAGTGTCAGTCTGCTGGATGCTGCGTGTGGCCTGGCTGGAAGCTTCCAGTAGCTTCCGGTTGGGCCTCAGACCCTTTGCCCAGGCCCGAGACTTAGAGTTGAGGGCCTGGGCCCTTTTCAGTTGGGCACGGCCTGAGTCTTCTGGACTTGGGCTGTTCGCGGCATCTGTGCAGGGCTCCCGGGCAGGTGCATTGGCACTACTGCATTTGCAAAGGACGAAGGCCTGCTTCCCAATATATCGGCCCTGCTTTGTGTAAGTGTGCCCAGGCGTAACTGTCAAGGCCTGGGCCAACCGTATGCCGCAGCAATGTGAGGCTCACGCGTTTTCCCAACCAACTGGCGTGCTGCGAGAGCCTGAATACCCCATATGGAAATGTCGAATTTTGCCTTTGACAAATATTCAGGCGCGCCTTCACTTAGGGCGGGCACTTGACTTGCTGGGGGCCTTAGCCCAGAACAATGTGATGTCTGATAGGGCCACTTGAGGGCTTGTTCCTCACATACTCGAATAGTCAGTCATAAAATGTGACTGCGGAGACTCTTTTGTACTGATCGACATCAAAGTCCAGTTGCCTTCAACAATTTAATCCTCTCTCTCCTCTCAAGTTCATTCATTTCTTTATGCAATTGGACGACATTGTACTATCTGATGGATGTGTATCTCGAAATTGGTCAGGATTATATCAGCTCTGAAAGCTGCATACCCTGTTTTCTTTTTGTTTTTCCTCCATACCCTTTCTATTATTTCTCAAGCTAATATTTTTCACAGTCACAATTCGACCACTTGCACCAGGATGGGACTCTCCTCGCATCAAAGAACAATATCCACATTGCCAGAGACTCCACTGGATTTGTGATTTTTCCCACCGTGAGGACTAATTGCTGCTGCCAAATACACGAGCAACTGACGGAATGATGTCCAGTCATCGGGGCTATTTCTATCCCGGAAGAGTATGTCTCATACTCGAATAGTCAGTCATAAAATGTGACTGCGGAGACTCTTTTGTACTGATGTTATGACCCTGGCCAATTTCGAGATACACATCCATTGGAAAGTACAATGCCATCCAATTGCAGAAAGAAATGAATGAACTTGAGAGGTGAGAGAGGAGTAGAAGAAGAAGAAGAAGTAGGAAAGAAGAAGAAGAGCCTTGTCACGGTCTTTGCTGGTGTACATCTTCTTCTTCTTCTTTCTTACTTCTTCTTCTTCTTCTACTCCTCTCTCACCTCTCAAGTTCATTCATTTCTTTCTGCAATTGGATNTGGTGTACATCTTCTTCTTCTTCTTTCTTACTTCTTCTTCTTCTTCTACTCCTCTCTCACCTCTCAAGTTCATTCATTTCTTTCTGCAATTGGATGACATTGTACTTTC